CCTGACTGCCTTTGGAAATGGACAAAACACTAAGGGAAGGTGACCGTCATGCATGCGGTAAGCAGGGAAACTTCTCCAACCTTCTTAAGATACCTGTGTGGTCCAAAAATTAAACTGACAAAGACAGGCTAATAGGAGAAAAGGAGTCAAATTTTGCTAAGTTGTTACATGTACATGGGAACCTTCCCAAGAGAACAAAGACCCGAAGTTACCAGAAGTTACCAGAGCAGGAAGTTTTTACACTTTTTAGGCAAACAGTAGATTTGTGAAGATCTGGCAAGACAAAGGGGTTTGGGGGGGGGGAGTAGTAAATGGTGAAGAAGTAACTAGGAAGATAAGGATGATCTTAATGTGTTTCGTTTGTATAGATACCTTGGCCCCAAGTTTCTTACCTCTGGTGATAAGGATACTTCCTTCCTTCTGGCACAGGGGAGGTCCCTTTCACATGGGAGTTTTATGACCAGTTTCAGAGAGGAAGGGCAAGGAAAAACATCATCAGGTGTTCTGGGTGAACTTCCTGAGTGGCCCACACAGCAACAGATGTAAAAATTGTCTAAACATGAGCCACGGTGGCATTTCTCTGAAGTTTATATCAAGTTGTCCTGCTGTAACTGGAGTGTCTTCAGGAAGAGAGCTGTTTTCGTGCTGAATGATTCCACGTCAGGAGGATGGGAGAATAATTGGAAACATTAATTTGGGGAGTTGTAGCCAGATATCAGAAGAGGCTAAAAGGATTCAGGATTGAGTCCAGTTTACAGGTAGATAACAAAACCTCAAAGCCAATGAACAAGGCTAAATCTACCACCCATATGGGTGTGCTATAGTTTTCTCGTAAGATACAATTATCCCTCTAGAGTCACCCCCATGTCTCTCAGAGATAATCAAAACAAGGTTTGCAATATAAGTCTAGTCTCATTGAATATGGGCTGATTACTTATGTAAATGCAGCAAGAATAGTGGGGACCGTATAAGTTCTTTTTAATCTGCTTTGCTAGAACTTTTCATGAAATTAGATTTTTTTAATGCCTCTCAAGGCTAAGAAGCTAAGCCAAGGACTCATGATCAGATTTTGCATATGCCACCTATAGATTTGGATCAGTTCCACTCTTCTTGAGGTCCCCAAGATATCCTGGGTTTCCTGGGCCTCCCAGGAAGCGACCTTCCTTAGTCAGATGGCCAGGCTTCCAGGAACACTGTAAGCAAGGTACCAGCCCAGTTTTTGTTTTTTTTTTTTTTAAGGGGCTTTTTTGGCTCCGTAAAGTCAACCTTAGTTTTTCAAGTTGTCTGGTCACATCTGATTCATGTCAAAAATGGCATTCCAGTCAAAGCCTTGGTAACATACCAATGTTTCAAATTGTGTCCTGTTATAAGGAGATAAATCGGGTTCTTATTGAACTTCTGCAAATAACTATATTGCCATGAAAATAAGAATACTCAGTAAGAATTCCCAAATTCTGGAGGGAAAAAAAGTAATTGTTTCATTTTCGTTCACAAAGGTAGACTTTACCAAATTGCTACAAGTCATAAAGAACTTAAGAGAAAAGAGAAAAACATGTCTTCTTAAATCTGGAAAATCAAAACATTAAGAAACTAGTGATTTTTTTTAAGGTTTATTTATTTTTGAGAGAGGGAGAGAGAGTGAGCAGGGGAGGGGCAGAGAGAGAGGGAGACACAGAATCCAAAGCAGGCTCCACGCTGACAGCAGTGAGCCCAATGCAGGGCTCGAACTCATGAACTGTGAGATCATGACCTGAGTCAAGTTGGACGCTCAAGCTGAACCACCCAGGTAGCCCAAAACTAGTGATGTTTTAAAGCAAAAGTCATAATCACCCTCAGGAGTTTATTCAGCCACACGCAATTAATTCTTGTTGATTTTGATCTTTTGTTAGTGGTTTTATGAACCCAGGTTTTCCACTAGAATTCTGGAATTTCTCACCCAGATCAGTGGTATGATCTTAAAGTTATCAGAAACCTCCCCTTGTCATGTTCCTTCCACGAATCTTCTGGAAAATGGAGCTTTTTTTGCAAAAGCACCAGAGTAAAAGAATAATGGTGTGTAAAACACAAAAGCCTCAAAAATGGCCATGGTTAAAGATCCGATGAGAGTTCATCACAATGCAACAGACAAGGAGATTTCATTATTTCTGTGACACACAACATTTTAAGTTAACAACTAGAATTAATGACTGATAACATTATGCCAGGATAGATTTCAAGGGATGTCATACAGTTTCTAGAAAACTTATATTAACAATTTGTACCCATCCCAATATAACCTAAAGGGGTCAGACATCACTTCTTATCAGACAATGTTTCCATGTAATTTAACATGTCAAATAAGCCTAATTACTTTCATATCTTTCTTTTTATAAGGAGAGAGAACAAATGCTTTGGAGTTTTTCCAGGAGCCCTCTAGAAAAGTCCAAGTTAGTTCAAGGTCAAAAAGACTTCCCCGGCAAGGAACAAGGAAATCGGCTTAGTGCATCAGATATTCTGCTTTTGGGGGACACTGTGCTGAAAGATCGTTATAACTATCTTTTTCTACTTCCTCCTCACCAGCGGGTGTTGGGGTGGGGAAGCTTAGGGCGGACGACTTGTTTCATCTTGTCGATGAAGCCCAGATATATGAAGCACTTGGTGACCTTTGTCTTGTGGAGGTGATGTTTAGGCTGAGACAAGGAATAGTGTAGAGAGCAAGACGGAGTCACTCATGTCAAGCAGTGATGTAAAGAGCCAAAGAGCAGTAACGGAGAATAGGTATTGCTAAAACCAGAGTGCACTCGAGGTACAAGAACTGATAATCAGCAAGGCCAAGAGAGCCTGAGAGAACCCGGAACTAATAATCAGTAGAACCAGAAGAGGTCTCTGAAGGATTAAGCTTTTCAAAGGCAGGGCTTTTAGGGACCCCTGGGTGGCTCAGTCAGGTAAGCATCTGACTCTTGATTCCGGCTCAGGTCATGATCTTATGGATCGTGGCTCCGAGCCCCGCTCCGGGCTCCGTGCTGACAACGCAGAGCCTGCTTGGGATTCTCTCTCTCTCTCCTTCTCTATCTGCCCCTCACTTGCTTGTGCATGCTCTCTCTCAAAATGAATGAAGATAATGAATTATTATTATTAACTAATAATTAATTTTAAAAAGGGAGGACTTTGGCAGGAAACTGTCAGACTCCCCAGACCTCGACTCCACGTCTGACCGCATGAGAAGGGCAACTGCCCCCGAGGTTTCTGCCCGACTGCTGTCTGAACACTGGGATCTTCCACTGTTTGAACATAAGAAGCAGAGAACGCCAAGGGCTGGCCAGGACCAGACTAAGTCCACAGACCAACGGCATGCTCACGGACACGTTACCTTCCTCCCTTGTTGTTTATGGCCTGATGTATGACTTGTTTTGTCTCGTGCGACGTGTATGAAGCCAAGTTAAATGCCTTGCGGAACGTCATTGACGTTGGAATGTTAACAACCTTGCTTTATGACTGAATAAAGCTGACATCGTGAAAAGACACAGCTGGTGTGTGCACCTTGCTCACGTGATTTCGACACCCTGAATCGTGAACCACAGCATCTACCTACACAATGCTTCAAGCGAAGTAGGTTAAGTTGGCCCCTGTGACCAACAGAGTTATCCTGGAAACTGGGAGAGAGAGAAGCCCCCTTCCTGCCCATGGCTCAGCCTCTGCGGAGAGGGCAGCAGGGGTTCTGAAGGAGCTGACGTGAGAACCCCATGCCCAACCCCAGAAGAGGGAGCCAGAGAGAAATCTGGCCTTGTCCCAGGAAGCTGCGGGCCATGGGCGCAGGTTCGGCATCTTTCCAACTGTGCGCAGATTGCTGAGGACAGAGTGTAATTCACTGAAAGACCTTTCTGTGCTTCAGATGCAGATATGAAATGAGTGTGTCCTGTTTCTCAGGTGCCAAACGTACTGCCCCAGGTGCTGCCTCCTGGATCTGCCACCTCGGGGGCACAGGCAGGGCCTTAATGGGAGCAGCAAGAGCTGACCTCAGGGACCCTGGACCCACCTGCAGACATGCCTAGAGGACTGTGCACACGGCATCCGTGCATGCCCTGTGCCTGCACTTGGCTTGAGAAGGAAGGTGGAAGTCCCCTGGTTAGATTCAAGAGCAGGGCGGCCAGGAGCAGGTGGGCTTTACCTTCATAGGTAGGAGCTGCTTCCCTAAGAAGTGGGAAGCATGGAACTGACCTCTAGACTTTCTGGCTGGGCAACCTTCTCCTTGAGTAATATTCTTTTCCCCATCTGGGCTATAGGTTGGTCCCAGCTCCAGGGACTCAGTGGTGGAGTGATTGCAGTCATGGTCCCGGCCGTACCTGCTTCCCTGTGTTCGTGCCCTTTGCAGTATGACCCTCCTCCTCTTCCTATCCAGAGATGAAGTCTACTTGCCCACCCTCGTATCTTGCTGTGGCCAACAGAATGTGACAAAGGGACGGTGTGCCAGTTCTGAGTCTTGGCTTTCAGGGGCTTTGCAAACATCCACTTACTCTCTTGGATCCTGCAGTGGCCCTGTGAACGGGCCTGGGCCAGCCTGCTGCAGCAAGGAAGCATGTGGCCCAGTCACTTCCACTGACCCAGCTGATAGCTGTCAACCCTCAGGAGAGTCACCTAACTGACCCATGGTTGACTGTGGACACATGAGGAACCCGACTGAGCCCAGCCTAAATTGCTGACCCACAGGATTTCAAGCTAAATTAGCGATTGCAGTTTTAAGCCACTGGATTTGAGGGTGATTCGTTTCACAGGAGTGGGCAACTGACATAGGACCCCTGGAAATAAGGCAAAGCGGAGAGGCCTGCATGCTGGAAAGGCCTGGGCTCTGGGATGACGGTGCCAGCTGAGAGCCAAGAGCGAAGAGATGCCTGAAACCAGGAAGCCTTGCTGTTAGGTGTTACCCTGAGAAGCCTGGAGACCCCAGGACCTTGGGGGCAAAGCTGCAGGAGTGAAAAGGACCAGGGTCTTTGGTTACCATGGCAATAAGTAAGACTTTAATACTAAAGAGCTTTGTGCACGTACCCTTTCCAGACGCTGTCTTCCCCCAGGAGGCTGGCCTTTGTCATATCAGCGGGGTGGACTCCCCGGGAAATAAAATCCTGACTCATCAGCATTAGGTCACCAGGGAACTCAGCTAAGCGGAAAAGATTTCGGTTGGTTAGGCCAGTGATGGACCGTTCCGCTTTCTTGGTGGGGAAGAACGGTTTCTGATCATTTGGATGGCATGTGAGACATTGTTTCGGTTCTTCTGACTTGAAGATGACGTTCATTTTTATTTCTCGTCTGCTTGTGGCTTTGTTCTCTGCCTCGCCTCTCTCCTCTTGCTTGGCAGAGTCGTAGAAAGCCACGACCTCGCTGTCCTCGTCTTCCCTGGTCTTGTCTTTTGCCGTTGGGCCCAGGCCCCCTCCAGACAGAGATGAAGAGCCCCTGAGCCTCTCAATGTAGGGCAACAGCTGCTTATTCCGTAGGGCTCGAGCAAGCTGCATCCGTTCTACGTGCCTGATGACAGTGAGCTTCTCGCGCTGGGGCATTCTGAACTCCTCTGGGGGCACGATCACCTTGGCCGTCCACGGTTTTCCCAGGGGCCTGCTGGCAGCACAGGGACGGGGATGCTGTGTCCCGAACTCCAGCGCCCGCTTGTAGTCCGGAGACAGCGACTGGAGCTCCTTGAGCATTTCCCGCTCCTCCTCTTGCTTGTGGGCCAGAAATCTCCTTGCCGCCATGGTGTGGACACCACCCAGCCGCTGACAACGTGAAGGGGACTATCAAAAATCTCAACGGGGCAGCAGCAGGGGGTGCCCCCGGAAAGAATCGCCTGGTGGCCCCTGTCCCCATCTGCCGCTGAGGGTCTGGGCCCCTCTGCGGTGGGAGCTTTGGGGTCGGACAGGCCGGAGTTCAAATCCTGACTCTCCTTACCTACAAGCCAGCAGCCCTCACAGTGCTATTCCTAATCAGAACTTTGAAACAAGATAGTATTTGCAGTGCAAGTGTGGGAAGCCTCGAGTGAGGCCTCTGGGAACCTTGTATGTCCGTTGCTGGTGGGTTTTGAACCTCTGGCTCCACCCCTCCCAGCCTGGCTGCCTGGCTCCAGCGGGGCCTCCCTGCGAATCAGCTTCAGGACACTTACTAGGATCTCTTTTTCCAAGGGGGAGTATTTTCCGAGGGCGATGCGTGGATCTGATTTGTAGGATTTGGTCCATATCCTGAAAGGCAAAGAGTCAGGTGTAGGAGAACCCCAGGAAGGGTGTCACGACTTTTAGTTTTGGGGTGGGAAGTGTCACAAAGGGCGGCCCTGCCTTAGACAGGCGAGGGCCACGGTGACCGGGGTGGGGTCCTCCCCTTGGCTCGTTCTGGGAGGGGTGGGAAGGACAGGACCCGAAGCCCAGGCTCCGCTCACCCCAACGGTGAAGTAGAACTCAGACCCCGCTGACAGCACAGGGGGGCTTTATCCCAGAAGGAATCGCTTGTGTTAGACATTCTGACTGGCCCTCCACTCATCCTCCACCTGCCCTCTGCAGACTTCCTTTCTTGGGGCCTCTGTTTCCCAGTCTTCTGGAAGCCATTCTCCCATTCCCTGTTCATACTCTGGCAATACGCGAGGATGGGAGGTGTTAATGCCTGGAGTTTCTTTCTAGGACATTTTAGCGGGAACCCAAGAGATAGTTACGAACTCTTCTTGCATCATAACTGGCCTACTTGGGGCCTATTGTGAGGTCTGAGTTTAGGTATCAGATGATGCCCTGGGGTGAAATGGACACACACGACCATGTGCCTGGAGGGGTGGAACCCAGGGGACCAGAGTGGGCAGAGCACATGGCGGGGGGACATTCTAACCACGTCGCTGCTGCTTACAAGCCCACAAAGACTGCTCAGTGCCTTCAGGGTGAAGACTCAGCCTCTCTCAGGTCCTTGCTTGCCTCTGCAATCTTAATTCCTCAAGCTCCATCAAAGCGCTCGATCCATGGTTCTTGGAATGAGCTTCTCAGCTACTGTTCATGCCCCCCCCGCCCCTCTCCCCCATATCTCAGACAGCTCTCTCCTCCCTTGGCAACTTGCTTTCAGGGCCTGGCTCACCTGTGCCTCCCCTGAAGATTTCCTTGCGGGATAAATCACTCCTTTGTCCACGTTCTCACAGTCCTGGTGCCATGCTCCAGCACGTTATCACAAATTGACTTGGTTGTCCACTAAGTCTGTCTCTCCCTCTGCTCAAAAGGAAGTCCCAGAGGCATCTTATTCGTGTGTTGCTGTTGTTTAGCACGGGGCCTCGTGTAGAGCAGACGCTCAGCTTGCCTACTCAGTAAGAAATCATCTTGGGTCAAAAGCGTTCCTGGTGAGAATGCACATTAGCACAACCCCTAATAAAGGTAATTTGGCAACATAAACGTTCCGAATACATTTACCCTTTGACCCAGCAGTATGTGTATATGATAAAATATGCTCAAGGTTAGTCAACACAGCCTGCTTGGGACAACAAACCTAATGACAAACTCAGGGGTACCTGCATGGCTCAGTCGGTTAAGCGTCCGACTTTGGCTCAGATCATGATCTTGCGGTCCATGAGTTCGAGCTCCGCGTCGGGGCTCTGTGTTGACAGCTCAGAGCCGGGAGCTTGCTTCGGATTCTGTGCTCTGTCCCTCCCCTGCTCATGCTCTGTCTCTCTCTCTCTCTCTCTCTCTCAAAAATAAAGATTTTTAAAAATTAAAAAAAAACCTAATGACAAACTCAAATGTCCATTAATAAGGATTAGTTAGAGTTATGGCCAACCATATACTGGACTACTACGCGGGAGTAATAAAGATCAAGGAAGGAAGGTCTGTATTTATATGGAAATATCTCCAAGAAATACGGTTAAATGCAAAAAGCAACGTGCGAAAGTATGTCAGTTGTAGACTGCCTTTTAAGTTGGAAAGGAAAAAAAAATAAGCATGTGCATTCATATTTGCATGAAGAAAATCTAGATTAATACACACAAAAAATTAATAAAAATGGTTACCTGAGGTGGGTATCCGGCAGAGGAGGAAGTAGTGAAATGAGCCTTTTCATTGTGCACATTATTCTGTCTTGAATTCAGAACCACGTGAGTGCATTACCCATTGAAAAAATGGAAAACAGAAGCTCATGGAAGAGTTGGTCTCTGACAAGCATCGGTCCTAAAACTTGCCTTTGCCTCCACCAGGAAATTCGGAGTGGGGAGATTTAGAACGTGGGCTGGTGCTCATACCCATGGGCGCCATCTAAGATACGGTGATGCTCCTCCTGTTCGCACAGGCAAGTTCAGTTACCTGGAGCTGCTCCAAACCCAGGAATCAGCAACAAGCGCCTTTTAGCAGTAATGCAAATACCTCCTGCAGTGCATTCAGTGACTCAGCCATTTGCTCCACACTAGCTGCGGATGAACAGTGGCTTTGCACAAGCCACACGACAACCTGACACCTTATACGCACTCAACAAATATTTGCGAAACAACCAATGAGTGATATATGCTGGAATATTACGTAGCTACCAAAAAGCAAGTTTTGACAAAATTTCCAATAATGTACTTCTGATGCAATGTGATCTTTAAAAAAAAGCATAGGGGTGACTGGGTGGCTCAGTCGGTTGAGCGTCCGACTTCGGCTCAGGTCATGATCTCACAGTCTGTGAGTTCGAGCCCCGTATCGGGCTCTGTGCTGATGGCTCAGAGCCTGGAACCTGCTTCCGATTCTGTGTCTCCCTCTCTCTCTGCCCCTTCCCTGCTCATGGTCTGTCTCTCTCTGTCTCAAAAATAAATAAAAACTTTAAGAAAAAAATTTAAAAAAAAAGCATAATACAAAATGTACATAGAATAGGATATGGCTACTATAAATGCACAAATAAACAAGAGGGAAAAGGACTAGCAGGAAATACGCAGAGACATCAGCAGGGGTTACTCTGGGCTGTGGGCTGATGGGGGATACGCTAGGTCTGCCCATGTGCCAGCAGCCTGGTCGGACAGGAAAGGGTACCACGGCCAGGATCCAGCTTCTCCAGACATCAGGACCCTGCCACTCTGCCTGGGAGGGTGTCACCATGGCAACAGGTCTTGACGCTGGGACACTGATTCTTCCTGCACTCAGTTCCACTAACTGGCTTTTAGTCCACTTCCTTCTCCCCACCCCCTCTCTCATTGCCATTCCCAAGGTTTTCTTTTCTTTTCTTTTCTTTTTTGAAGATATTTCTCCATGATCAGTTTTACATTAGGTTGCATTCCTGTTACCTTGGTACCTGCTTTTGTGCTTGCTTGTTTGTTTTTATTAATTTTTTTTTTAACATTTATTCATTTTTGAGAGACAGAGTATGAGCAGGGGAGGGGCAGAGAGAGAGGGAGACACAGAATCGGAAGCAGGCTCCAGGGCTCCAGGCTCCGAGCTGTCAGCACAGAGCCCGACGTGGGGCTCGAACTCACTAATTGCAAGATCGTGACCTGAGCCGAAGTCAGACGCTTAACCAACTGAGCCACCCAGGCACCCCTGTGCGTGTTTTTATTCAGTCATCAACCTCATATGCTGGCTTGTTTTCCATGTTTCCTTTTCCATTGCCTGTCATTTTAATCCTCTATCTTTTACTCTCATGTTTATTTTATGTCTTTGCCCCATAGCCTGTGCCTTTTACATACATCTCATCTATTTTTACCTACTGTATTAGTCAGGGTTGTACAGAGAGAGAGAGATTTTAAGGAATTGGCTTATGGGATTAGGGAGGCCGGAAAGTCCAAAATCTGCAGAGTGGGTTGACAGGGTGGAGACTCAGGGAAGAGCACTTAATGCAGCTCAGACATGCTGGCAGGATTTCCTCTTGCTTGGGTAGGTCAGTCTTTCTTCTAGTCGTAGCTTCAAGTGATTAGATGAGGCCCACCCATGTCATAAAGGGCAGTTTGCTTTACCCAAAATCCACTGATTTAAATGTTAATCTCATCCAGAAAACATCCTCACAGAAACATCCAGAATAATGGATCAGACCAAAATACAGCTGGGCCCAGCCAAGTTGCTGCATAAAATTAACCATCAAACCTACTTACATTTACCAGGTTTTTAAAGATGAGATTTGGGGGGCGCCTGGGTGGCTCAGTCGGTTAAGCGTCGGACTTCAGCTCAGGTCACGATCTCGAGGTCTGTGAGTTCGAGCCCCGCGTCGGGCTCTGAGCTGACGGCTCAGAGCCTGGAGCCTGCTTCCGATTCTGTGTCTCCCTCTCTCTCTGCCCCTCCCCTGCTCATACTCTGTCTCTCAAAAATGAATAAATGTTAAAAAAAAAATTAATAAAAACAAACAAGCAAGCACAAAAGCAGGTACCAAGGTAACAGGAATGCAACCTAATGTAAAACTGATCATGGAGAAATATCTTCAAAAAAGAAAAGAAAAGAAAAGAAAACCTTGGGAATGGCAATGAGAGAGGGGG